CACCTGCAGGCCCATTTGTTTGGGGAGCTGACTTCTATGGCGCTGGGCCGTGGGCAAGCAGCTGTGGATCCTGCCACCCAGATTCCTGACAGCGACTGTAGCGTCAGGCGTCTGTCCCCTACTTTCCACCCTCCCCTGCCTCTCATGCGCGGGTTCTCAACTGTGTCCCCGAAGCTGAGGTCAGGGCATGGAGCTACCCTGGCCAGAACAACTGTTTATATCCTCGCTTATTCTATGAGGTTTCTGCTGCTAAAAAAAATAAATAAATAACATAGTGGAACTGCACCGCCTTGGACCAAGGCTTGGCCCCCTCCCTGAGCATCCCCAGGGCACTAAGTGGAGGGTTGGCTCTACAAATTCTGGGCCCGCAGCTGCCACCATCTCCTCTTAGAAGTAATGTGGGGATGGGCTGGCTCCCTGGTGGCCCTTCTTCCCAGGGTCCTTCACTCAGCCAGTTTGCCGGGTCCAGGGTTATCACTCCCTCTCTGGTCTCTGCATATGCCCTGTCAGCCTGGGTTTGCCAGCACCCAGGTTGGCCCTAGGCCATGGGGCTGCAGGAGCCCTGTGAGGGCACAGGGTGGCTGAGGTGGGTCTCTAGCGCCCTCCCAGCCCAAGTCCTCGGTTCGTATCAGAGTCTCATCTTCAAACAAATCCAATGATGTAGACTATCAGTTTTACACAAGGATCCACTTCCAGCAGGTTCCATATTTAAGAGCAATCTATTGAGAGCCACTGTGACGGTTAACGCCAGATGTCAGCTAGGCGATGAATCTCAGAGTGATGTAATCACTTTCCACGCAGTGAGCGGATATGCTCAGCTACTCCATGGAAAGTCAGCCTCCAGACTATAAATGGATGTTGTGGAAAAGCTCGCTGCATCCAGCACCTGACTTCCGGATCTGGGGATGTCCGCCTCCAGCGTCCATCTGCTGCCCTACAGACTTGGGACTTGCCTGCCTGGATTGTGTAAGCCGTTTCCTTGAAGCAAATCTCTTTCTCTATGAAAAGGGGGCTTCGGAAGTGGCTAGAAAAATCCCATTACCTTGTCATTTCATTTTTGCTCCAACTTTGTGAAGCCCCCTGGTATGTACATCTCACCGGGTTTGTGCTTCTAAAGATCCCAGGCCAAGACACCTACTGTGTGCTCATCCCCTGGGAGGCAATAGGCTCCCTTGAGAGACTCTGGGAGATAAACTTGCCTGTACTCAGATGGGCCTTGGTGGAACCAACCATCAAAATAATCACCGAGCTGGCAGCCAGCCTGCGTGACTGACCTCACCTGCCTCTATCCTCCCAGCAGTCCCTGGCACAGAGGGCAAGGTGAGATGCAGGCCCAGATGCTTCCAGATAAACGGAGCATGAGGTTCCAGTAACGCCTTGGGAGAGCCACCAATCCTCTGGGAGGTGGACATTGGGCAGGCAGAGCCCCTTTGTCCCACCTCTCCTGATACCTCTATCCCTCACAGCTCCCTTCAGGGGTAAAAGGCCTCCCAAGTCCTGAGGCAGGACAGTCCCTTCTCAAAGTCAGACTCCTGGCCCCCCTCTCAGACCCTTGAGCCTACCCCCACTCCTGCTTCCCTGCCATACCTTCAGGGGGGGGGGGGGGGAAGCACACAGGGACAGGGTCCAAATTCTCAAGGTTCCCCACAGAGAAGGAGTCTAGTGGATGGGAGAAGTTAAGAGACACTAAGATAGGGTATGGACTCAACTTTATAAACGAGGGCGGGGAGCCCTTGGGGGACATGGTCAAGCCTCCGCCCCCATGGAGGTAGATGGTGGGCCTGCAAGCACTCTTGCCCCCTCACACACAGGCTCAGCCACAGCCAGGGGGGAAACTGGCCTAAGTCTGGTGGTGGGGGTGTGGGCAGGCCTAGGGCAGAGGAAAGAGCAGGAGGGGTGGTCCTGGAGCAGAATGGGGACCCACAGGTGTGTGCGGAGGAAACCCCAGACACAACAGGCCCAGGGTTGGGGCCCGCAGGCCTGGCCCCCACCAACCCAAGGGGAAGCAGAAGCCTCAGGGGTCCAGACCCCACTCTCCAATGTACAGCCCTGGTGGGAGTAATCAGTGCCCTGGCCCCCACCCCCTGGAGACCTCCCGGATGCGGAGCCGCCCGCCCCTACTCCCCCACCGGCCAGGCTCCCATACTCGGAGGCTGAGGGCGGAGATCCTGCACTGCCACGCCCCTCGTACCTGGCCTTCACCTTCAAGGGTTCGACCCAGGGCCCAGGAAGGCAGGGAGTCGCGGGAGGGCAGCCTCGGACCCGGCCGGGAGGCCGCTCTGCGCGCTGAGACGCCAGGGCCAGTCCCCATGGCGGCCAGAGGAAGCTGCGGTCTGCGCCGCCCGCCGGACAAAGCGTGGAGCCCCGCTTCCTGCCATTGTGCGGCCGCGCCCGCCCCGGCGGAGCCCAGGGACCCAGGGGGGGCGTCCTGCGGGGACACGCCCCCGCGCCCGGGCCGGGGGTCTGGGACGTCCGACTAAAGGTCCCACTCCAAACACTTAGGTCCAGATCATAGAGGACCCCTGGGAACCCGCTTCCTCTCTCAGGGAGCTCCCAGACTGTTGGAGTGGGGGTGGGGTCAGTGGGTTGACAGAAGGGGGGAGGAGCAGGCCGCAGGATGGGGCGTGGGGCGGAGGAAGAGGAGCAGGCTGGTAACATACCCCATCACCCCAGTCCTGGGCTCCCAATTCCCCTACCACCGCCTGGATACCCAACAGTCCAGGCAGAGGAACCAGTGGGGTCCCGGTTAGGGGGGGTGACCACTGACTCGGTGTCGGGGCCAGAGGGCGTGGAGGGGGCAGTCCTCTGAGAACCCAGAGGGGCTGGCTGAGGTGGGGTTGGGTGAGGGGCGTCTGCAACATCCCACAGCCCCTGCGGCTCCCGGCTCAGTCCACGTGGGACCTTCCTGCACCCCACAGCTAGGGGGTGCTCCACCCAGCCCCAGAGGACTTGTCAACCCGGTTTAGGGGTGGGGTGCAGTGCTGGGGACCCCACCGTCAGCATGTTTTATGTTCTTTGGAGGAAGGCGGTGGGTGGTGGTGGCAGGCAGTCCCTAGTATCTCCCTCTTTGCTTGGGGAGAAGGGACATAAAGTAAGCCCCATGCAGTACTGAGCCCCAGGCTTCTGACTGGGAATCAGGAATGACCTCTTTGGGATTTTCCTAGGCATGCACAGGGGTGGGGGGCACCCTGTCACTCACACACCCGCCCATCCCTTCGGCAGACTAGAGGGTCTCTGAAGGTGGCTGCAGGAAGTGGACAAAGACTGGAGTCACCCACTAGCCACAGAGCGGCAGTCCAATTTTTTGTAAACTAACACCTAGATCAGGGGACACACACACACACACACATACACACACACACACACCAGGTAAAACTCTCCTGGACCTTCCCATCTGGCTTAAAATCAACCTCCCAACAGAGCTGCCTCTGACCCCACCTCCTGGCCAGTCTCATGAAGTGGCCCACCAGGAGGGCAGGGCCTGCCACACACCAAGCTCAGAGTACCTCCCGAGTCTTTGGTCTGCACTCTCTCTTCCTGGGCCCATGGCAGTGGCCAGATAGCTGTCACCAGGCCCCAGTGAAATGCCCCATCCTCAAGAAGGACTTCCCTCTCTCCCCCAATTAAAATAGCCCTTCACCCTCCCACTCTCAATCCCTTTAAATGAGATTCTTTTCTTCTTAGAAGTTTTACGACCTCATGTCAGGCGCTCTATTTGCTCACTACTTAGTCACCAGCCCTGTCTGCTAGAATGTCCTCCCCAGAGGGCAGGCGCCTTGTCTGTCTGTCCGGCTCATGAGGTACCGTAGGCGACACTCAGATCTGAGCTGGCAGCCAGTAGGTGCTCAATGAGTGAATGAGTGCAGGCTGAGGAGGAGTCTGAATGTCCCTCCTTGCAGCCAAGGATCAACACAGCCCTCCCACAATGACCTTGGGGCCTGCTGGCCTGGGCAGGTCAGTTTCCATCTTAAATCCTGGTGGTCCTGCACTGGCCCCCTGACAGCCACCTTCTACTGGGCATTCCCCAGGGCCAGGCCTGCCTCAGAAGCAGCAAGTCCCAGCCTTCTAAAAGACCCCCTGGAGGGAGATACAAATCTCCATTGAGCACAAAGAAACTGAGGCAGAGAGGACAGCTCAGGTGACTTACCCCAAAGCCACTTTTGGGGACAGAAGAAACAGAGGTCTGGGCTTTTAACCTCCTGTGCCATCAAGCGGGAGGGCACATGAACACTGACTAACTGATGGTTTGGGCAGCAAGACTTTTCGGACTCTTGGGGCCAGGGCAGAGCCATAAGCTAGCTTGAAGGGGACCCCTGCTGGCCTGGGTCACCAGGTTGCATCAAATGGAGACCACCAGGTGGGGCCATGGCAGGTCACCAGAGGTCCTCAGGGCACAATGAGTCAGGCTGCTCTAAGGCAGGAGCCAAGTCAGGCCAAGGAAGAAGCTGTTCCTGAGCCCTCCGTGGAAAGGCTTCCTGCATCTGCCGGCAGGATCCCGGCTTCCTGGTCCAATCTATGTACTGTAAGGAGCTGAATGAGCTCAGGCGCAGGCCCAAACGGTCCCATCCCCTGATTCCCCAGGGAAGGGCCCCTCCCCAGCCCAGCCTCAGCTCGGGGCCTGTGAGTCAGGGCCAGCTTGTTGAAACTGATACCCAGAAACCAGATGCTGGAGTGGATGAATAATGGAGTCGCCAAGGCGCAGTACCCCCTCCCAACAGCACCATCTTCCCAGCTCCACAGCAGAGGCCTGTGGGCATCCCCTCCCCTACAGGGGTTGGGCTGAGGGGAGAATGGAGCTCCCTATCCTGGAGGGGCCACAGGTTGTGTGTGGGGGTGGGGGTGGGAAAGCAAGGTCTGGGACTGGCTCTGTGCTCGGCCTAAAGCAGACTGGCCTGGAATCCGCAGTGAGGCTCCCTGGCTGGAAGGACAGCCCTGCCCAGGGGCTCCCCACCCAGACTAAGCTCCCAGAGAACCTTCAGGCCCAAAGCCCCACCCAGCACCTTTGAGATCCAGAGCGGAGGCTGCGTGTGGGGGCAGGTCAGCCAGGGCGGTGCCAGCTCTACCAGGCTGCTCCAGCTGCACCCTCTCTCCAGAGGCATGGCTGACCTAGGGAGGGGCCACATGCCCACCCAGCTCCTCCTGACCTCACCCTCAGTCCCAAGAACGCCTACCAAAAAGCCGGGTCTGCCCTGAGGCTCTGCCTGTGCCTGATAGCGGGCAGGGACACAGGGATCCTCTCCTCAAGACCTGGCTTAGCACCAAGACTACAGAAGCCTTAAGCTCCCTTCTTGCCAAAGGCCCCTGCCTCCACAGGGTAAACGGATGCAAAAGGCGCTAGAGAGAGGCGAGAGCCTGGGGTTTGTGACCCACCTGCCATACCCCAGGCAGCCTTCCTGTACCCAGGCTGCCAGCACGACCTCCTGGCACCTCACTGACCCCCGCTGTCACAAGGAAGACCCCTTGCCAGGGAGTGGGTCTCTGTCTGGCCTGCAGAAGAGCTGGTTCTGGGCCCACCTCACCGCTGCCCTTTCAGCTACGACTCCATCTTCCCGTGTGTGCGGAGGGCAGCAGCCTGGCACTTCCCATCTAGGGATGGGTCTACAGCAAGCGTGGACCCCAGCCACAGAGCCAGGACATAGCAAACGGCCCACGGCGTCCCCAAACCCGAGGAAGGTTCCTGGGGCCTCATGTCCCCATCTTGCACCACGGCAAATCCAGGCTTCTCTTAGTGGCTTCCCTTTTCTCCATGCCCCCACCCCCTCTCCCTCCAGGAGTGGGTGCCCGGTTCAGCCCAGACTGCCCGAGGCGTAGACTCTGGCGCCGCCTGCCGGCTCTTGGGAGAACTGGCCACCTCGAACCGACTCGGCGCAGCCAGACGCGGCGGGGTGGGCGGGGTCTACCGGTCGCCCCGCCCACACTCCCCCCGCCCCCCCCCCGCAACCCCGGAATAAGCCCCTCTAGAAACCAGCGCCCCGCCACCAGCCTCCCTCAGGGGCACAGCTCCCCGGGCTCCTGACGACATTTCTCGGCGCCAAGCCCACTCTGAAGTCCCTGAGGCCGAAGCTGGCGCTGGCGCCCATCCCACTGGGGAGGAAATGGAGGTAGAGCCAGGGCGCCCACTGATGACCGCCCGAAGGCCCCGGGCGGCGTCCATGGGGCCTTCAACGTTGGAGTCTGCCTATGAAGCCAGGGGGTGTCCTGACACCCAGACTCCTGCCTGGGACCCACCCAGCGATCCCCCATGACTCACCTCAGGGCGTCGGTTTCTCTCAGCCAAGGCAGCCGGAGTCCCGAGGGGCACGGGATCGCAGGGGACCGGAGCCCCGGGAGGGCGCAGGAGCTTCTGAACCGGCTGCGGGCACGGGCATAGGGAACTACCGTAGGCGCGGCGCTGCCGTTCGCCGGCCGCGAGGGAGCACTGGAATCCCGGGAAGCGCCCGGCGTCGGCCCTGCGGCCCGGGAGGTGGGGGTGGGGGTGTGGCGGAGCGTCCGGGCGAGCTTAGAGCTAATTACGGTCCAGCTGCAGGCGTGGGGGTGCCGCTGCCCCCTGGGGGGCCTGCCCTCGCAGATCTCTGGGAAGTTCAAGATCCTTACTTATTAACCTGGCTTGACGACGGTAGCACGCCCCTTCCCCAAGAGAGTCCCAGACAGGAACTGCCCTGACTTACAAGAGCAGCCCCCTGGCCACGTTGGTTCCCTTGCACACACCTGAATGCTGGCTGTGACGCCCTCCCCCAAAACGTGCCCGCCTTTCTCTGCACCCCTCTCTTGTATCACCCCCTCCTCATGCCTGACGTAACCCATACAGGGGGGCCATTCTACCCTGTGATAGTTCCTGTTTCTCTCCTGGCATTCTCCTGGAGTTTAAAATCACACTGCACTGCAGATGAGCCCGTGGGGAGCACATAGAGGGCACCCCTCACTGCAAGCACCCCTGTTGTTACGTGCCCTGGAGTTTGGTTCCAACTCATAGCCACCCTGTGTACAATAGAAGGAAACCCTGCCTACTCCTGTGACATCCTCAGGACCGTTGCTAGGTCTGAACCTACAAACACAACTACCCCTCCCCTAATTGTCCTCAATGTCTGTCGCCACCCGGGCTGGTGAGCACAGTGGGTGTGGCTCAGCTATAGCCCAGCATTATCCACCCGGGAGCTTCGGGGCCCAGACAGTGTCTATGCCGCTTACCCTCTGACCATCACCAGGCCAGCACAGGGTGGGCCACCTTGGCCACATCTCCTATGGTGGCCTCTCTGTCCCTGCCCTCTGGACCGTGTCCCTAGACCTTTACCCATATTCCCCAAATTCTCAGTCAAGGCCCGAAGTCCCCCTTGCCTGGCTTCCATGGTCCTGCCCCTTCCTCTACCCACTTACAAATCTGTCTATACCAGACCAGCAGCAAAAACGGACTGACTGGTCACCACCAGCAGGCCCTAAAACCTGGCAGTGCCCCAATCCTGACTACCCCAAGGACTCCCAAATCCTACCCCAAGGCAGTGCCCAGGAGACTAGGTGACTGCCTTCCCCCACATGCCCAATATCCTGCCCATTCTTTCTTCACTGGTCTCTCATCTACCCACCTTCATGTGCCAGTGTTCCCACCTCCCCCATCTCCATCATGGCTACACCCTGAGTGTGAGTACCCGCGCGCACTCGCGCGCATACACACACGTGCACACATAACATCTCATTCCGGCCACCTCATGGCCCATCATTATGCTGGAAGGGAACTGGGAGGTCATCAGCTCCTCCAGCCTCCACTCCAGCAACAAACCTATCCAATCACCCTACACTGGGATGAGCCATTGCTAACTCAACCCTATTCTAATTCACCACCCTTCGTTTCCACCAGCGCTGCTGGGAGCCATGCACTAAAACTGCACCTGCCCCCTCAGTGGGGCAGCGGTTATGCGTTGGGCTGCTCCACTGCAGAAGATGAGGCTTTCTACTCCTGAAACCGCCCCTCCCTTCCTCCCTAGCTCTCGGCAACAGGAGGCTAGGAGGTCAGCCAGACCCAGTGAGGATGAGTGTCCCCACCTTGCTTTGACCATGCATTTACCCTCCCTGCCACAACGTCCTCATCTCCAATCGGAGCTGGACACCGTCTGTATGTACAGGGGAGGGACCTGCTGTGAATGGTGGGTGCCAGAATCATGTGTTTTCTTCCAGAAAGATCCCACGTCTGCAGTGTCCCCCAATTCTTTGGTCCCTCAGAGTGGTCCAATTGCCTGCCCCTCCTCATGCCCCTTTGTGCCCTCAGAGGCTCTGAGCAGCCCCACCAAAGCACATGCTGGAGGGGTCCAGCAGGGAGTAGGGAGTGTTGACACTGCCCAGCTCCAGGGGTGACTTCCAAGCACAATCAGGGGAGCCCAGCATGTTGCCACCCTGCCTCAGTCTCACCTGCCCTGGGTCAGAGAGTAGGCCCCCCCTGAGCAGGAACAGGACAGGTCTGTGGGGTTTGATAAATACATGTCTGGGTGGGTGGGGTTGGGTGGGGTCCGGGATGGAGCTAGGATGTCTCCGATCTCTGGGCAAGCACATCCCAAACCTGATGGGTTTCTCAACCCCCTTCAATTCAACGTATCTCAATCTGTGGGTCGCAACCCCTTTGGGGCTGAGCTCTGCTTGTCATGTTGGGTGACATGGTGAGTTTCCTTACTTCCCCGAGCCTCGGTTTCCTTGCATGCGATGCAGGAATAGTACTAACACTCCCACCCACCCCCTTCCTGTGAGGTGAGTGTGATGCCCACCAGGCACAGGCACACATCTGGTCAGTCGGTGGTACTGGTTGTCAGCCTCGGCAATAATGATCTTCCTCATCAAACCTGAACATCATTGACCTCTTTCCCCTCCTGCTCCAACCTGGCTCACCTGCTCGGCAAGACCTGCCTGGCAAGACCTGCCCATACTCCCTTCTTTCTCCCCTGCGGTTTTTGTTTAGGGGACCCCCTTCTGGAGTACCTTTGCCTTTCACGCTGCCTACCCACGGTTTCATGTCCATCGTGGTCACCTCCCCCAGGGTGTCCTCCTGGACTAGTCTCCTGCCTCGGATCACTCAGGCATCCCTGTCCCCATACGGAGCCTATGCTGTCTGTTCCAGTGGTGACAGGGCCTGGGCTCTTTCCCTGCAGTGTGGGTCACTGCTGATCCCAATGCGAGCTGAGTTTGGGACAGATCACGGAGGGGTAGAGAAGGCAGGATGTGGCTGGTTAGGTCTACTTGGGCAGCTTTGCCCACCCATGTCCCTCAGCAGCTTGGTGGCTCCCCAGAGGGGCTGCAGCAACTTGATATGGCCCCTCTGGCTACTACCCCCTCTGGCTACTACCCCCTCAGGTCAGAGGGAGGCCCCAGGGCTCAGCAGGCCCCTGGCGGTATGTATGAAGGGGAAGCTGGGGCAGCTTGTTGCCAGGCGCCCCCATAAAGGGGGTGGGGGGGACAGGCAGTTGGCCAACACCAGGTCCCAATGCCAGGCACCATTCGCACCAGCAGATTGCCTCTGACATCACAGCCACCCCCTTACCCGGTGGCCACGGCAACTGGAGATCGCCCCCTCCTCTCCCCACCCCCACATCAATCCTCCATGTGCCAGCGTCCTCCTGTGCAGTGACTGTGAGGGGCCGGAGGCAGGGGAGGAGTGTGAAGGACTTGAGGTGGGAGGGTGGCATTTTTAACTTCCTGCAGCTGGCAGAGCTGAGCTGCATGGTGGTTAGGAACGCAGGCTCTGGCATTAGACAGAGCCTGTCCTGGGTTCAAATCCCAGCGCTTCACATTCCTAGATTATCTTCGGGCAAACCACTTCAGTTTTCAGAGCCTATTTCCCAATAGATAAGTGGGAACAATAGCTAACAGGAGGACCTCAGCAGGCCAGAGGGAGGAATGCGGGGGGTGGGGAGGGCAGGGGGGGTGACATAGTCTGATAGTCCGAGGTACAGTTACTACTATTGCCACCGAAACTTGTGCTGCAATGGACCAAATCCGGCCTTGGTCTCTCATGAGCTGGGGGACCTCGGCCAACTCATACACCTCTCAGAACCTTGGAAGTCTCTGAGTGGCACAAACGGTAAAGCGCCCAACCCCTAACCGAAACGTGGGCAGTTCAAACCCGACACACTCGAAAGAAAGACCTGGTGATCCGCAGCTCAAATTTCACAACCCGTGGGGCAATTCTACTGTCTATGTGGGGTGACCATTCATTGGAACAGACCCGGCAGAACCCTCTCCAAACCTTGAGACCCTCATCTGGGAAAGCGATGGCCTCTTCCACAGTACCTACCGGGTGCACGAGGTCAAGAACACACGTGTGTGGCTCGAAGCCTGGCTCAGAA